CGACTTGGTTGATAGCATTCGATCTGCACTAATAAGGACTCGACACACATGACATTGGTCACCACCCAGTGATCAATCACAATTGTGAATACTAGTACCCTGATTCAATTATTAATATTTCAAATCTATTTAACAAAAATTGTTTTTGAGTTATAACTTATCGGATTTTTACGTTTGTTTTGCATTCAGATAAATCTAGTAAGTCTCATTCATCCAAACATGGATCAATGCTTTTGGATTTGGCTGGTAATGATGACGAAGCTGAAAATGATCCGCTACCTGATGTTGATGGTATAGAAATTCGTCCACACAGTGATTCAGATGATAACGATGATGATGATGAATTTTTAGAATCAAAAGATCTCACATCTATTCAAAGTAGGTTTCAGTTAACTAATCAAAATTTTAAATGATAACAAAGCACGGCCACGCGTATATAGCCTCTGCCAGGGAAGTCCCACTCATTGCCTTCTCGTGGCGGGGGTGTTGTTTACGAAAATGAGAGGACGAAAAGCAAATGTCCGGCGCTTTAACCGGATCCCAAACCAAATCAGTGGTGCACATGGGCTCCAGTATCCTGCGGGAACAAATGGCGTATGAACCAATTGTTGGTCACCGGCTACCATGGGACTGCATCTTCGTACGTTGCTCTACTGCCTTGTGGATCAGACCTTCAGGTTAAAGGCTCGGGGAGTGGCCCTCTAAGATAACCACCTGTTCCGGTTTGGGCACCCGGGCAGTATCACATCCCTCACACATATCGAATGAGATTTGTGTGGTGCATATGTATTTGGTGCCTTCTTGTACCAATATCTGTGTGTTAAAATAAAGTAAAAAACATACAAGGGTAACGGAGATTAGACTCTGCCAAAAGCAGGGCGTATGAAACGTCTGAAATCATGTTATCCCAATTTTCTTCATCAGTATGGGGTTGTGAAGATTATTAAGGTTTTGATTGAGATCATGAACCGATTGATGTTAGACCACCACATTTGGAAACCTAGAAGCACTAGACGGCCGTTTCGCCCTATAGTGGGACTCCTCAGAAGTGCACATCCACGACCCCGCTCGCGGGATTCGAACCCAGGGCCTTCGGTCTCGTGCGCGAACGCTTAACCAACTGGACCACTGAGCCGGCATTCAATGGTGTTAATGTCTAATTTCAACCAATCTGCGAAATTGCGCGACCATCTTCCATTGTTTAATATCAATCGGTTCATGATCTCAATCACAATTTTCTTAGTGTACGTTAAGCTGTAGATTTCAAGTTTACTGCTTCAAATGTTGATCTTAGTTGCACGTTTGCTTTGTTCCAGAGTTCATACCACTTAATTTTTTTTCTGGTTAACGTTTTTTTAGCGAGTTAGTTTTCTACGGGATGGGGTCGCTTACTCCATGCCCAACCCTCCTCCTTTAACCGGACTTGGGAATCGGCACTAGTCCTAGAGGAGCTTCAGGCAGAGTTATACCATTTAATAGCAATATCTATAACATAAAACTTCAAATAGTAGTATTTATCATCATCATCATCATCATACTGATATGTTTGTTTATTTTGTTTAAATCTAGATAAATTTCAACAATCATGCTCTGTTGATCCTGTTCCTTCTATGAATTGTGAAAATTAATTCCTATAAATGGAAACAATTATTTTGTACAAAATATAAATATTTTTGTTGTTGCTGAGATTCTAGCATTTTTATTATGATGAATGTTATTGAATAGAAAATGAAGAGAATTCAGCAAAGAAAAAATTTCTCTTCCCGACTAAATCATTTAATTAATCTATACATCCGTATTTATAGTTATATGAAAAATATATGTCAATATATAATCATTGAGCCGGAATTATGTGAAAGTCCTACTCACTTCTTTTTCACGGCGGGGGTGTTGTTCACGAAATCAAGAGGACGAAAAGATGTCCGGCGCTTTAACCGAGCTGGTGGATATAGGGGGTTCACCTAGAGGAGTTGGAAAACCTTAATTCCAAATCAATGGTGCATATGGGTTCCACAATCTTGAGGAAATAAATGGCGTATGAACCAATCGTTGGCTACCGGCTACTATGGGACTACATCTCCGTACGTTGCTCTACTGCCTTGTGGATCAAACCTTTAGGTCGAGGGCTCCAAGTATGGCCCCCTAAAGAAAATACCTGCTTCGGTTTGGGCACCCGGGCAGTATTGAGGCCCTCGTACAAATCGAATGTGGCGCATATCTATTTGTTGCCTCCTTGTACCAATGTTTACATGCTTAAATAATCGGATATACGATGTTTACTGGTTAAATCTGTAAATTTTCTGGGTCTATGAAATCATCAGAAAATGCTTTCACGTAGATCAAAACATTTTTCACATTAATCAGAATTTCATGAAAATATTACTAAATAACAGAATATATCATAGTCAACATGCTTAAAAACTTCCGGAGTTTACCTTCCAAGTTCTGCTTCCCCCCGTCACTTTAAATTAGGCAACGCATTTTTAACCTAGCCAACAGTTTGTGGTCTTGTGTAGAGTTTCTATTGAGGTTGGAAGGAAATAGGAAGTAATCGAAGATTAGCTGGAAGCCAGCTGAGGTTTCTTGAAGTGTTTTTTTCATTGTTCCAGTTCCCTAGACTGAGATCGGGTCATAACTTTGTGTTTACCCCGAATAGTTCCACCAACAGCTGACTTATCAATACCTGACATTTCCGATGAATTAGAACAACTGTCTTGTGTGACCTGTAGTCTGTCTTATTTATCTCTCTTGCTTCCATCCCCAACTAATGCGCGCAGTCATAGTACAGATATTTTGTCAATTTATGTTTAAGTTTTCACTTCTTATCATTATCCAAGCATCCTTAGATATATTCGAGCAGCTGACAACATAGTAGAAATTCGCGAAATCCATTGGTCGTTCATAACTTTTCGATTTAAGTCACTGAGAGATATCACTGCTATTTTTACAACTGTTTGAATATCATGTCAAGCTATTTTGGGATAAGCACTAGTTTTGTGTTCGACTAAGTGCTGTTTTTCTGAAATATACTCGACCTTTTGATCGTTGAGGTGAATAAACAGCTGTCTAAGCATAGCTGTAGTAGATTGTTATCGTATTAAAAATTATTGTTCTTTAGACCTAATGTAGATTCATTATAAACTTCCATTTAATAGAATTCTTTTTAAAAAATTCCATATTTCTAAAGATAGTTCTCATGTCATAATAATATCATCTGAATAAATATCTATAATCAGGATGTACAACACAGACATTTCACTAAGTATACTGATAGCCTATCACAAATCTGATCTTTAATCTATGCAACTCTCTGTAATCCAGGTTCTAGTTGAAAATCATCAACCAATATGGTAAATAAATTATCTTAAAATTGTATTTACAAACCTAACCAATTAATGCCAAGTGTCCTGAGGAACTACTTCAAGTCTGACAGACTCTCATTAGGAATGGTTATCCGCCGATAATAAATTAACATTTAGACATCATCTGAAAGAGGCACCGACAGTGCAAAAGAAAATTTTTTATGAACATGGAAGTTAAAGGAGATACGATTGCTAAAATCTTGAATAAACGGATTTCAAAACCGTTGAATAAAACATTCTAGCTAGCTAAACTCCGAATTGTTTTCTCATTACCTTTATGTTTGTTGCTTTTCTTTATATCTGTCATTCGAACAATTATCTGACCCGTAAATTATTTCCACACTTCTACTTTCCTCTAACCCCCTGATTATTATGCAACCCCATCTGATACTTAGTTTCGAATCACTTTGTGATGCAATCGTTTCTATCCTTCTTTAGACATATATAACTATAAATACGAATGTACAGCTTAAGTAAATGATTTCGTCAAAAAGGGAATTTTCTTCACTGAATTCTCTTTATTTTTATTCAATGACACAATGGGTTATTTCGATTAATGTCACCTTTTTTTATAAGTTTCAACGTTGATTTCAATAACACTTTGTCAAGAAATCTATACACGATAGTATTCTGGGTGAATTGCACACAACTAACACCTAGTTAATTAATAGGAGCATATATCTGCGATATGATCACTAACCCATCGTCGAAGTTGCATTGGTTATGGTATGCATATCATTGGTAATAGCGACCTTTACCGATACGAAAACGTCATTGCGCCGGAGCAATTATGTGGAAGAAACTGCTGAAGAATATACACGGTCGCAATGTTCCTTATTAGATCGGTTAAATGTATTTGTTTACTAGTGAAAACACAATGATAATAAATAACGTAGCCGCATTTACCTTACAATCGAAAAAGTCAGGTCGGGAAACAGCAGGTGATATTTTGTTTACTCGTGACCGGCTGTCAAGTACTAAGTTGGAAGTTGTTTATCAGTTCGGCAATTTTCAACAGTTTGTCTGATGCAATATAACTAAACTTAAGTTGATTTCCCGATGAAAAATCTCCATAAAAGTTTATTTCAAAGTCAACACATTAAACCAACAAGTGGATGTAAAGTTTTGCGTACTAAACAACCATTGTCAGAACATCGTACATTTAGATGACTTACCGTATTCATAGCAATACGTTCAGTGTGTGTAATGCTGCCTGTATTCTAAACGAAAGTAGGAGTTGACCAGTCACATACTCGTATTGAACAATTTTTGAAGACACGTTAAAGTCCCTTCCAAATTTGTTTATTAGACTGTACGAACACACATATTGGTTTACTTTCCGATAATGTACAGTATTAATTTCTTGTTTAGAGATAATTTTACATTTATGGTTTGACCTTAGCTACAAAGGTAGAGATTTAGTCAATTTCTAGTATCTAGACTGTTTGATTATGCTTACAACTGCTTTTTATTGATCGCGCCCTGAGCAGTAGGGTATTGATGAAAGAAGTTAAAACGAATTACGCACCATTGTTTACAAAAATTTACTTGAACGAATGTCAACTACGTAACGCTAACTATAGGTGTGGACTGTTTTTTTTTCTTCTGCAACCCACTAATTAACACCATTAGATGACTTTAAGAAAAAAACTTTTATTTCATATTCTATTCACACAACAAAAACATGATTTACAAGTCTCAATTGTAAGAAGGAAGAACATCTGAGATCACGAATTGTGTAAGAATTGATACTGCTTATTGTAGACCTAAAATAGAGTTAAGCACGTGAACTACACCCAGAATCACAGGTTGCCATGCGACCAAATACCGTACCCAATCTAAGAGATTTCCGTATAGTAAATGTGGTTTATCCCATCTAATATTACAGAAATGTTAAGAAAGTTAATCACGTAAAGTTTTACTACTACATTATTGTTTAATACTATAGACAAAATACTCACAGTATTATTCATAATTTTACTATGAACGAATACTTTAAAAGCTACTAGCATGAAGTGGGAAATTCTTCCCTTTAAACCAGTTTTAATTTGCTATGTAATATCAGTACCTCCCACGTAGATGGACATAAAAAACACTCGTACATTTATCATAATCTCTTAGACAAGTGTTATGAAATAAGCCTGCGTTTAATACCATTCACACAAGTGATAATTTATCATGTTACGAGAGAAGAAATATTAATCCATGCGTTTATAATAAACCCCAATAAGCATATTCTTGTCGTATATGATTACAATTACAACTTTACTGGCACAAATCTATGAAGTCATTGACAAGTGGACTGAGCCATGTTTGTAGGTGTAGACTACCTGGTTTGGATCCGCGAAACGATAGCAACCGATGGTTAGAGACCTTGAATGACATGGCTCAAAATCGTTTGCAATGGCGCAGGTGCATCCACTCTCTGTGTTCTCACAAATTCTAATCTGAATTCTTCATGTCCCTTTTTTCCTCTTTCCAAATTTATTTCACTGAATTAAACTCCTTGAATAACATCTTCAAACCCTAATATCTCCAATTACTGCTTATACTTTTACTACCTCTACCACTATGGGGTTTGAATGAACAACTGTATCTCTGTGCTAATGTGGTATGACAGCTTGAAGTTCTATGTTGTTGCTGACTGACTGAAGACAAAGATTAACAAAACTATGTGATTTATCAACGAAATACATTTCAAACAATCTAATTACATATACACTTATTAAGAATATTCATATAGGAAAAGAAAATCCAAGGTTAATTAGATAGATGGGAGGTAAGCGGAAACAAAGATAATGATCAAGAATAATAGTATGAAAAACAACGCGGAACTCATCACCCTGAATAATAAACTAATATAACCAAATTAGAGTAGGCCAGGGGTGAAAACAAGCTGTTTTTGCATAAAGGTCTTAATTTTTGTAAGGCTAGGGACTTCAATAAACATTAATACAACACCACAAAAGTCAAGTTAAGATCAATCTTCTGTCCTGTTTCAATGATGTATATGGTAATAGATGATGATGGATATTTATCGTCTACTCAAACCTAGTTGAACTGCTAAACACAAATTTAATTATCTGAAGCTTTAATGTAATTAAATATCTTCACTCATATAGTGTACCTGAAATTCATAAAACTAAACATGGAGAGAAGGCACAAATCAATTGTTACGAAAATTAAGACCTTATTTACGCAAAAACAGCTTGTTTTCAATTATAACCTATTCTAATATGGTTATATTAGTTTATTATTCAGGATGATGAATTCCGTATTTCCTTTCCTTGATCATCATATTTGTTTCCACTTACCTTCCATGTATCTAAGTGGCCTTTGATCTTTTTTTCATATATGAATATTCATAATAAGTGTATATGTAATTAAATTGTTTGAAATGTCAGTCAGCTACAATGTAGGACCAAGCACATGAATGCATCGGTCCAAGTTGCCATACCTCACCAGCCCAGCAAGATAAACACCGGATTCATAAAAGTAGTTAATTTAGAGGTGGTAATATATAGGAGAAAGATTGAATATAAGGATATAGTACAGGAAGAAAGAATTAGTTCGTAGAAAGAAAGATACCAAACGATCTTAGTCTCATAGTTTAAGGGAAGACGGAGAGTGTATACAACGACCGTTGTTGCTACCTTGACGTGGTGGTCGGACTTGCCTATCGTGATGAACCAACCGAGCTATACTGGCTGGAACAACCGTTCCTCAAGGTCCTACCATGTCAGACAGGTCGGTTGAAGAGCGGTAAGACTAAAAGCAACAAACCCAAGGTCCGAAGGCGAAGTCGTACTGCTGACTGTACAGAGGTGTGACAGCAGTAAGGTGTTTTCTGCAGACAACCAGCATGACAGCGACGCTGCCTTCCCAAAAGGAGGGGTGGGGTTGGAAAAGCTCGACCCTAAAAATGCACACCTCGCTTTATCCCACGGATATCCGTCTCCGGCGGTAAGGTCTCAACAAGTACGGAGCTAACACAAAAATTACCCATTAAAAGGTCGTGTGTGACCGACCTCAAGCAGTTGTCCCTTGAGCATTGCTATCACATTCTCAGGTACCTCCAGAAGAACCTTTCCACGGTGTGGGCGACCGGGGAGTGATAACCGTCCTCATACCTCTAACAGCACTTAAGACCACTGTTTGAAATGTATTGCGTTGATGTATTACATAATTCTGATGTTTCATCTTCTTATTATACTATCTGAACTTATAAATTCTGTTGATTGCGATAATGTAAGACTATCTCTGATTGATTCCCTGAATTGATTTATCGTTATACCGGGAACATCTTCAACAAGTCAACATTAACGACTGCTATTTTGTGTGAATTATAGGAAAATACAACTTGACAACCCAAATGATGCACACAAAAAAAACAACAAAGGATACGGATTTGTAAATGTCTGTTTCAAGTCGACTTTTTCATTGCAATACGGACAAGTATCTTTCTTTCCAATAATGCACCAACCTCGAATACAAAAGTCATGAAAGCTATAATACGTAAACCAATAATAAGGAGTCAAGCAATATTATATATATTTGATTATATATTATTTTAAAGGGATAATACTGTATTTAAAAGAAAAAGAACCATTCCATGGTGATAAAATGTTACTATTAGCAAATGAACCTATATAAACAGAGATAATTATAAACAATTTACAACAAATTACACTAATGGAACAATTTGACAGTCTATTGAAAACCGATTGAGAAAAAAAATGAAGAATTACAATTGATTCGTATCGATTTTCACATTTTAAAAAATGAAACTATATAACTAGTTCATATTGATAAAATGCAGAATGTTTTGGTAGCACTGAGCAACAATGCCAGGATGTTTGGGATGTGCTTTTCCCTTTCTAAATCCAAGTTGTTGCTTCAGGACTGGTCTGCGTCAACATCTGAACTAAGGACAACTTCACATATCTTGAAAGCCTGGTCAGTTCTAATGAGTTGGTGTCGGACGAAATCTCTGCACGGATCCGAAAGGCTCGTCTGGTCTTTGCTAACTTACGTCACCTATGGCGAAGGCGAGATATCCGTCTATAAATAAAAGGACGAGTATACTGCGTGGCAGTTCGTTCTGTTCTACTTTACAACTGCAAAACGAAGTCATTAAGAGTAGAAGATACTTGAAGCTACTAGTATTTGACAACAGATACCTTAGAAATATTGCTCGCATCTGCTGGGATCACTTGGTAAGTAATAGTGAGGTTAGACGCAGAGTATTAGGGAATGATCATAAGTCAGTTGATGAGGTTGTGAATCTTCATCGACTGAGATGGCTGGGCCACATGTTACGTATGCATGAACACCGATTACCACGACGTGCAATGCTAACCGGTGTTGGAGATGGTTGGAAGAAAGTAAGGGGCGGCCAAACCAAAACGTGGCATCAGTGCTTGAAGTCACTAACTTTTAGTCTAAGCCATGTTGGTAGATGCAGACTACTCGGTTGGGGTCTGTACGACTATCGTAACCAATGGTTGGAGACTCTTGGTGACATGGCTTAGAATAGATCACAATGGAGTCGGTGTATACACTCTCTGTCTTCCCTTAAACTAAAAGATTGAAATCGCTTCGTATCCTTCTTTCTACGAATTAATTCTTTCTTCCTGTACTATATCCTTATATTCAATCTTTCATTTATATATTACCACCTCTAAATTAACTACTTCTATGAATCCGGTGTTTATCTTGCTGGGCTGGTGAGGTATGGCAACTTGGACCGATCCATATATGTGCCTGGTACTACGTTGTAGCTGACTGATACCCATGATTCATATACATTACAAACATGTAAGACAACATCTATGAGTTAGGTAGCAATTTCAGTAATTCTCGGCTATTATTCTGTGCAAATTATATAATCTATGTGAAATCGGGTAAACGAACTGCATATAATGAATAGAATAGTCATATTATTGTGCTTATTTTATTTAGCATCAACAAACTTAGGTAAACAATACAAACAAAAACAAAAGAGTCAAAATCAATTCATTTATCTAAGGAATACGTTTAAATAAGTGAATATCGGAAACAACGGAACATAAAACCAAACAATCCTTTGTTTTACGAAAACAAAGTTGTATCCGCTCATCAAAGATTCTAAGAAAGCGTATAACATTTACATTAGAACTACACATGCTTATGCATGATAAGCGGCTCCAATAGTATTCGTTCCTGTTAACTTATGACTCAGATGGTAGGAATCAGTAATACAAACGTTTAAGGTCAAAATGATCATGGTGCACATTGTTTCGCATACTTGGTGAAATGAAATTTACTAATACTACTAGTAGTGATTGGATTTATTAATTCTTTTTTTATTATTGATTCTTTATCTTCTATATCGAAATACAATCGCTCACAATGTCCACATTGTTGTATTAGATTGAAAAGTGGATGTGGTCAGTTTTTCATTTTTGATACTGTTAATTTTTAGAAAATTTATGAGTTTAGTGAATTTATGGCATCTATACAGCCTATGCACTCATTGACAGATATTGTTGCTCACTAACAATAATAATAAGTGGTGACCAATGGAGTCTAATCCGTGTCGGATGAAGACAGTTATCTACCTCAAGATAACGGATGAATGGTTGCGCAAGATCATACATTGATCAAAGTTAGACATTAACACCATTGGGTGCCGGCTCAGTAGTCTAGAGATTAAGTGTTCGTACGCGAAACCGAAGGTCCTGGGTTTGAGTCTCTCTGGTGCGGGATCGTGGACGAGCAATGGTGGTCTAGCTTAGATTGACTCATGAATTCAACTATTAAAATAATATATTAGTTCGACTTACTGAATTTCCTAAAGTACTTCTTGTGAAAGATAAATATTGGAATGAAGATAAGCTCAAATATATATATATATATATATATATATATATAATGAAAATCTTCACAAAAAAGGATACACATGAGTACAATTGAGTCGATGGACTTTTTCATTACTATCTGCTGTTAAATCACTTTTACATATTGAACATACTGATGGATCAATTCGACGAACTGGCATACCTTGAGGAATTTGATACTTAAAAATGAATGACAAAGAATGATTAGAAGTTTTTATCTTATCAATGATACGCCAAACAAAATCATAAATACTATGAAATGTTAGCTGGTTGAAAACAATATCAACATTCAAATTACTTAGACAAAGGAATATGTAAATTAGCATTAATATTGATTGGATAGATAGTACTCTGTTAAGTGCATATTAACGCTCCTTATTAAGGTTAAGTATTTAGAGAAAACCAAAATCTGCCAGGTTACTAATAATGAAGCTATGAATAAATCATAATGAATTGTACACAAGGTAAGTGCACTGTTCCTATCAATGGAATCGAATGACTAATCACACTTTAACTTCTACAGTAATCACAGAAGCATTAACACAATGAGGACGAGAGTAATGACAGCACTTGAATTGTATTCCGGTCACTAATCCTAAAAAACCGAGCAGACAATACAATCATATAATTAAGTACCGATCTCCATTGCTGACAGTCACAGTTTATAAGAAAGGACAAAAATTCTTTTGTGACAATTAGAGAGGATAATAATGATAATGATAATACGTATAGCCAGACTGTTCTACTCACGTAACTGAGAAGCAATGTGCAAGTTTTGACGTTTTTTGTAGGGTTGGAGACGTTCCATAACATCATCCAGAAAGTTACAACAGCACAGATATATTCATTCTTTACCTTTCTCCAGATCATGAGTTCCAGTATTGTTTTACATACACCTTCTCATATTATCTTTGGGTGTTGAATTCTCAACCTCCAATTTATTCACTATAATGGTTGACACATTACTTAGATTTTTTGCTATTTATCTCGTCGTGTTAATGAGGTATAGCAACTTCGGGCGACCCACGTTTGTGTCAGGCCTTATGCTGATGATTTCTGTGTGTCCCATAACCAAGTTTTTAAAAATACATTACGTAACTTACTGATATTTGTGCAGCCAGTTTATTTGTGCAAACTTCAGCAAAATCTCGTGCAATAACTCCATAATAAAGACCGTAAAACAATGCCAATAAAGATAAATCCACTGAAGCCTTTGTAGGCAGAAGGAATAGCAGATTGACTTGGAAAAATGTTAACACTAAAAGAACATAGCCACCAACTCCAAGTATATAGGAAACTGTATGAACAAATAAGAACCACCGATAAACTCGTCTATAAGATAAAACAACGCAGACAACCTTTTGTAAGAAATGATACCACTTGTATTTATTATATTCGAGCAATTTAGATATATAGTAGTGATATTATCAAAGGTTGCCAATTACCGACTTACATTCACTTTATTTAGATGCGCATAGCAGAACAACAGTTCACTTTTATAAAAAATATGTATAGTTTACAATCTTATAGAAGCACACTCTAGAATCTTTTTGTATAAAAATTATAAATATTGTGGTTTTTATTTCCATTCAATCGTATTCTGACTTAGGGATTTGTTGAGTGAAGTAGTGTCCAAGAATACTAAGCAATGAGTAGCTGGGTCGTAAAAAAAGAATTTATGACATTTTATCAGAATTATAACTATTATGTAGGTTTTATAATTTACACACCTATGTAATGAAATTATTATGTGTCGAAACGACCGTACAAGAACCTAACTCGTTCCTGTCTGATCCTTACTTTGCAGTCAGTGATAGTAAAAATATACAGCCTAGGACAAATACGGACTGCTTGGATTTGCTATTTTGAAGCCCGATTTTTATTCATTCCTCATCTAGTTAAAACCCAAGTTTAATTCAGTTAATACAAGTAGATAGGTTAGTTTGATCTAATTTAGACGCTTCATGTTTGACGTTAAAACACCTAATCACTAGATAATGGTTAAATTTTTGACTTCAATAAAGAAGTCGGTAGGTCACTATTTTATTTATTTATTTGAACACATAAATATTGGTATAAGAGGGCACCAAATATATATGCGCCACACAAAACAATGGGAATTTGAAGAGAAGGAAAAGAGGTGAGGAGCGTTAAAAAAAAGAATAATAACGAGCAGAATAAGGTAAGGTAGCGTAATAATGGGGAAAACGAAAAGGTACAACCAGAAGAAATCTTTCAGTTAAGGAAGAAGCAACCACTTTTTACGAAGAAAGTAAAAGGTTAGAGCAGGATCGCCATTGGCTTCTATTCTGAGCCATATCTGATAACGTCTCTAGCCACTGTGTTGCACAATCTCGCGGACCCCAGCCAGGCAGTCGTGAAGGAACAACACAAGCCAACCCTTTGCAGATTTCTTTCATACCACGACACCATGTCATGCACTGACCCCATGTCATACACAAAAAATAATGAACTGTCTATTTATGGTAGGTCGCTAACCGTGTACATCTCTAGAGACTGATTATGAGTCATCATATTAGGTTTATTTAAATACATAAACATTGGTACAGAAAGGCAATATATATATATATATATGCCACACAAATCAATCGATGTGTGAGGGCTGGAATACTGTTTGAGTACTCAAACCGAAGCAGGTAGTTTCCTTAGTGCAGAACTCCAGGAGCATCTGACCTACAGTTCTAATGTGTAGGGTGGTGGAGCAACGTCAGGAGATGCAGTCCCATGGTAGCCGATCACCAACAATTGTTTCACACGCCACTTGCTCCCTCGAAATTCTGGACCCCATATGCACTGCTATTTAGGAGTCAGGGCTTTCCAACTCCCCTAGGTCGACACTTCATATCCACCAACCCGGTTAAACCGCGATATTCGCTTTTCGTCCTTTGAATTTCGTAAACAAAACCCCGCCATGAGGTAATGAATAGGACTTCTCTGGCAGTTGACGTATATGCGCGGCCATGTGAGAGCGGATTTGAGGAGCTGGATTGATGGTAGTTAGTGGTGGAACCCAGGACGTGAGTTTTGTCCTATTTGGGACTCATCAGGTGGATGTGCCTGCATCCCCGAGTTGATGTTCATTTGGGGAATCGGACCCAGTCCCGTCCGCTTTAGTCTATTTTTAAAAACCCATATAAAAATTTTATCAATTACAGTACCATCCACTACAGTATCACAAAGAAAATAATGCACAATAGCAATGAAAAGACACGCAAGTGGATCCTAAGTTGCAGTTGTTCGGACCGAAGCTGCTACCTTGACGTGGTGGTTGGGCTTGCTTATCGTGATGACCCAACCGAGCTATATTGGCTGGAACATATGTTCCTGTAGGTTCTACCATGCCAGGCAGGTCGATTGGAGAACGGTAAGACTAAAAGCAGCAACTCAAGGTCTGAGGGCGAAGTCGTACTGCTGACTGTAGAGGGGTATGACACCAGTAAGGTGTTTCCCTCGGACAACCAGCATCTACAGCGATGCTGCCTTTCCACACGGAAGGAAGGGTTAGAAAAGGTCGACCCTAAAAATGTCACACCTCACAAATTTCCATCTCCGGCGGTAAGATTCTTTGAAGAACGGAGCTAACACGTCAAAAACCTCCCACAAAAGGGCCGTGCGCGACCGGCTTCAAGTAGTCGTCCCCTGGGCTCTGCGGTCACGCTCCCAGGCCGTTAAGGCCGACATTAATCCGAATTCCTTTTCAGGTTCCTCAAGAAATACCCTTCCACTGTGTGGGCAGCCGGGAAGTGACACCAGCCCTCATACCCGTAACAGCACACGAGACCAAGTTGGTCACATCCATATCCTACCCGTTGGTCGGTCCCAAACAACGCAGAACCCGGCATAAATGTGAGTTACTCTAATACTAAATTGGTGAGATGAGATGAAATTGACGGAATGATTAGCAAAATCGTCAAAATAACAGTATCAACGATATTGAGAAAGGCAGCCTTGGACAATACGGTATAGACTGAAAGGATGAACTAGAGGAAAGTTTTAAGTGATACTGAAACAAAAGACTAAAATGGTGGATGGGGACGATTAAGAGCATTGACTGAAGATGACACAAAGCGATTACCCAACACAAGTCCAAAAATCTGGAACAATGGAAAGAAACTTAAAAAACTATTCAAATGGCTTTCAGCTAATCTTTGACTACCTACTATTTCCTTCCAAACTGAATAGAAACTCGACACAAGACCACCAACTATTAACCAGGCTGGAAATTTGACCTGAGGCTACAGGGATAAGTAGAACTTGATACGTAAACTCCAGAGGTTTTCGAGGACGTTGGCCCATTTTTGCAGCAGTCAGACTGCCTGAGATACTAGCTAGAGTTTGAAAATCGGACATTAGGCAGTCAAACGCAAAGTAGAGGCTGATACATACGCACATCGGTCACCATAACCCAAGAGCACAGAGACGAGATTTTCAGTCAGCAACATTACTAGTAGTACTAGAAAGGACTATGTATTAAGGATACGACTCGAGATAGCGTAAGCCAATGAAAAAAGATAGGAAATTAAATGACTTAGGACCTAAGGAAAGACAGAATGGATGGCCTAGATATCTAGGTCATTGTAAGCGATTTCGAGCCATATCATTCAGAATGCTTCGTGTTTCTTAATGAACTACAAATAACCCGACCAAGTCCCTAAAAACATTACCAAATATGAGTGAATATGAATAAACTATCAGGTTAACTACACCACAAAAGGTAGGAAAAAACAATTGTTTAATATTGCTATTACCTTGGTGTAGTTGTACTTATGCGTCTCTTAGAGGCTAAGTAAACCATAACTCCAGTGGTTAATGAAAACAAAACCCAGACAAAAATGAATCTTGGGAACTCTGCTAGCACGCTGTATATAAACGGTACCAACCACATAGCAATCAAAGTTACAAGCTGGTACGAGCGGAAGTGCCGCTTTTTCCAAAACATAAGCACTAATTGGCAGAAAAGTAAACTAACAAATGCAACCAAAAACATCTCGAGGTGCATTTTTTCATGACCCTTGTGATCTTCATGGTACTTCAAGTGTTCTATCCTAAAAATCTTAAGTAACTTGTAGAACAGAAGACAAACCGAAATTTCTCTTCGGCAGAAAGTTCCGATAAATGATATGTCTAAGAGATTATCATTATTTTGAAATAAGTGATATCCATACAACATTATTGAGCACAACCACATCAGGATTACCTCCCATCCAAACGGATTCAATTAATTGGGCTACATATGAAGGTTGAGGGTTTTACTACATCTTTTGACACAGCTTAAGTTTCTAGGGAATAACTGAGCATTTAATATGAACTTTCCGATAAAAAATGTAAGAGAACAGATGGTGTTTACTATTTTCTTCTTGTCTTCAATACCCAATGTGTTTATGGCTAGCTTGTGTTAACCAATAGTTTTCTTCGAGCTCACTTCAAATTTATTCTGAACGATTCCAAGTCTCTAATTTGGTCCGATGAGGGCAATTTAGCTGTCTGAACCCACAAACACTAGTCACTCAAGTAGTTACTTGTGGGTTCATGCATCCTGTAATCTGAGTGGGTGAGTTTGTCTCATGGTGGTTATTGTTTCTATGGCCGGTAATGATCACATCAGCAAGTAGGTGGTTGGTTGGTTGCAATATGGAGGATCAAAAGGGATAATCAGAATCCAGATAATAACGACATAATTTGTCAATGAAACCTGCACCTGGCATCAAGACTCCGATAATTGGTCCAGATAGTTGTGGATGGAATAAAAGAAGCTTTCCCTTAACTAGCATCTGTGTCTAATAGCAATACCTATCAGTATAAGTTTGTGAGGATTAATGAGTTTAAATTAACATTACGAATGGATCGATGTCAGGTCATCATTGAAAATCTGCAATTACTGGACGGCCGTTTCGTCCACCGGTCACTGCTTCTCACTAGAACTCCAGGAAATCTACCCTGAGGCTAGTCACTAGTGAACACATGATAATTATCATTACAGGGTTGTGACAGTTGTGAGGCAGCTACTCACTGAAGATTATGGTGGACGGTTGTGCAATATCGTGGATTGGTGGGATGTGGACATTAACACCGTTGGTTGCCTGTTCAATGGTTTACATGTTAAGCGTTCTCCTGCGAAATCAAAGACTCTGGGTTCGAGTCCCACGTGTGCGATTGTGGGTGCGCACTGCTGAGAAGTCCTATGCCAGGAAGAAATGGCCGTCTAGTACTTCGAGACTTTCAGTGGTGGTCTAGCATTGATCCACTCAAAATATCAATATAATAGCATTAGGTCGTTATTTCACCTATGTAGAAAAGTAAGTATATGATACAAACAGAAGTATTGGCAAACTAGTATGAAATAGTGTCTCAAGTTATTACAAGTGTGCAAAGTTTCTTCTTAAGGCGCTCCGGTGAATCTGTTTGCTTCTCGTCATTTGGCAATGTCTTTCATGACTCGACTATTTGTAACAAATAAAAAATGTATCTACAGTCTAGTTGACTGAGTAGTTCCCCCTAAGCTTCTATTGTTTTTCCTCAAGTTCATGTTGGCAATGAACGTAAGTAAGTGTTTCAGATGATGTCAAAGGGTTTCAGGATTCCGAAAGCCTTTAGAAAATGGCCTTCGAGTCCCCTATATTCTAAAACATAAAGATTCGGAGATTTCAAGAGCTACGCGTAAAGCGTGAGTTTCAGCTCACAGCTTGACTGTGGATACGCTCCAGAATATTGTTGCACCATGTTATCAAACTCCGAGTGGGGTCGAATAAAACCTTCGAACCATGTAGATGGTTTTCCCCATAGGTCAAGGATGCGCTCCACAGTTACTTAAGAGAGCTCTGCTCTAAAAGTATTTTTGTCACTGCTAGCGGGAGAAGGACATTACCCAATTGTTCGTACAGTTCGTGATATGCTGCAGATGAAGCACATTGCACGTCTAAGTGTTTTTAGCCGGGCACTAAAATCCATGTATGATTGATTCTATTGGAAACTTTTGACAAGATGACCAATACCACATTCACCTTTCCCTTCAAATGGAGATTTACAATGTATCTGTCAACCGTAGCCAGCAGGTTGATTAGGTAGAAATGCCGCTTTCTGAAGCCATGTCGTTTAGGTTAAAAGGAGTTTGCATGTAATAAACAGTCACGTAGGCCAATGTAAACTAGAGGTTCCACAACCTGCTGAGGTTTTAAATAAAAAATAATTGACCAATAGTCGTATGGATTGTCGCTTTGATCTCCTCTGATGGTCAGAGTGACTTTGACCGTTTTACAGTTGTCAGGATCGACGCCTTGGTGAATATGATAACATTAAACTAATAGATGTTTCAGTGATTGTTTCTGTTTCTCCAAATACAACAGACTGCTTCGTGTCTGGGCTGATACCTTTTCACTTACTTAAACATTGCATTTTCCAGAAAGATAGCACTATGCTTAGGTCCGGGTGTTTTGTTGCTGGTTGAGCTTCAGGTTGAGCTCCCGTCAATGTGGTCTGTAGACGACACCCAGAATGTTTAAAAATGATGTTTTGCTGTGAGATTTGTGGCATTGTTGTAAATGAAAACACAAGCGATAATAACCAAATGTATTTAAATACAAAATTGTAGAATATCTTGATAAAATCTGGGAATCATACGGTAATACTTCATCTGTAAAATATCCATCAATTGTCTTGGACTTTGTTGTTCTTTTGTTTCCTTACACTCTACTTTCCATTGCTGATACATACTAATTATATCTGTGACATCAGTAGCACACACCACAGTATCCCTATCTTTGTCGCTTAGGTTATTGGGACCTAAAGCCTGGGAAACATCATTTTGGTATGTCAAAAAGAAGGACGATGGCGAAATAACCTTCTCCGATTTGTGAACAAACTATCAATAGTATGTGACGAGTACTGGTATCTGTCTTCACCTATTCCGGTTTATACGTTGTTGTGAAATCACATATCCGAGATTCTCCTTCCGGTCATTAGTTCAAAATCTGAGTGTTTCAGTTATTCTTACCGCATGAACCTTATTTATGTCAAATAGTCCACGTAACTAGTCTATTTTATCCGGAAACTTGAGAGATCGTGACTCTATATTTCGTATCGGTTTTAATTTGGAAAGGGCTGTAGGATGAGTGATGTGATTCACTCAGTCATTTTAGTGTCTCGTCGAATCTGTTGGCAACCGGAACTTTATGAGTGCATTGGAGTAAAGTTTTTTTGATGATTTAATGGGAATGACAGTAGTCAATTGAAAAGCAATTGATTCTGAAACTGCGAACACTTTTGATATATCGCTGTAATTTCTCGATTCAAAAGACAAGGAAGATGAAGGTGTGGAAGTGTTTTCAATTAATTTAGAGATTTTAACCAAGCCACTCTAGCCCTGTATTGCAAGCGAAATAAGTTTAGTTTGAATAGATTCTCATCTCATTACACCATATCACTTGCTCGTAATTTACAAGCGTAGGCCAAGCTGAATGACCTGGAGTCCACCTGTACTCTTTATCGAGCTGTGACGAGGAAACCGAAGCTGTCTGTTATAACGACACCGCTTAACACAACAGCATCCTGCAGTATGTGACTTTGTAAAACGTCTTGTTGGAGTCAGTAAAGACCACGACTTTAGGTGGCTTTAGACCTCTAAAAACAAGTCAGATCGTTTGCGCTACTAATAAGTTAATAAGACACGAGTAACTTGTTTCGAAGCCTTGCTGCTTTTCGGAGAGGATCATATTTTCTTCTTAATGCTTGAATAACTCAATGCAAATCTTCATTTCTAAAATTCTAATAACTGCGCTGTTTAAACTTATGGAACAATAGTTTTCACGGTTATATACTATACCAACGACATCTTCCCTATCGGTAAGTAATATACCCTAGGTTTCTGACACAGAACGAAATACTTAGAGAACTCGTGTTGGAGAAGAGATCCTCTTAGCATCCAATCGGACTCACTGATTTGTATCAATCGCGTTTATCAAACAGATCAAACGCATCAAATTGTTTAGTTGCCAAATGTTCAAATTATTAGCATGAGGGCTAGCGTTTCTACCGTATGTGCACTGCTAAAGTAATATGAGAATGCCTGCGCTCTATGTTACTTTTATTGCGTCACACTAGCGATCTCGTGCTGCCACTTCTTCCCAACAAATCACAGTGTACAACGTTTCATACCAAAACTGTCTAGGTATTTGTGTCATCTGCATATTTTACGTGCATTTCTACATTTATATTTTACAACCTTTGTATTCAGAATGATGTCTTTGGATTCAACGGCATTACGTTGGCGCTTCACCAATGGGGTATAGAAGGTGCCCTGGAATTCTAGAAATTTCTAATTCATTGTTACATGCATACACCGCTCTGGCTCATTCTGATAAACTTGTAACTTATGACTCAAACACCGGGAAAACCGAGTTCCCATTCCTGTAGCAAACTTTATTAACAACTTGCAAGTAATAAATTCAACTATATTGTCCTGTTGCTAATCATAGCTCATTTCACAACCAATCTTCAAGTTTCGGGTTTCTGGAACACAGTTTCTAAAACACCTGGGCAAACAGTTGAAAAGTGAGTGTTCAAGGACGAGAATCTTAGCAACTGGGTTCAAAGCTTGGATAACACGAATATATACATACCCAGTGAAAATAATGATGTTTGATACAACAGTTAATAATCATGCTGAGTTGGTGAAATGTCGCTGTCTCCTGCCCAAACTATCCGAGTGCCAAGCCACCGAACATCAAACGCCTTACCGACCCTCATCGAAGTAAAAACCAGCCAGGGCACCCTTGTAAATTCCATGCCGTGGACAGAAACATGCAGCAGTGGTCGCACTTTGTTCCTCGTACCTTGTCTTACTTATATTCCCCCGTGACGACGTTATGCTTGTACCATACGGTTGCTAAAGCAGCCATACTATCTGGATAATGAGGGAAAGCAACCCATCGCTAGATGTGACTGCGACACAAGCTTGTACGCTAGGTCACCCAAATCCAAATCGAGAAGACCTGAGATCCCCCTTATTGACTTCACGCATTGGCGACGCATAGACAAATATATGCTTTGAATTGCTCCTATGAAATATATTATCTCAACAGTTTATCTGTACGTTAATCAAAATAGGGATGTAGTAAAGCAATGTAAGGGACATCTTCTGTGACTTTTGCCCTGGGTAACAAGTGGTGTGAACAAAAGCCAATGGTGTTGCCCAAGGAATTCGATACTCGTCTTGTCTCTTTTATGTAGATCTACGACAGTTGTGTCAGAAAGGATAGTTGTCGCACCTATTCAAAGCCTTTACGTTGCGCTGCTGGGCAATGAGAGCAACCTTACTAACTAATTGTGGCTGTCGGCGGACATCGGACTAATCTGTT